CCTCTTGGGATCTTGGGCACACACGCACATGCACCCGGCGTGAGTTTTAAGCCACCGGGTCCAGGACGTGAACCGCGGTCGACTACGTGGGAATCCAGCGACATAGCCATTACGCTAACTGCTGGTTCCCAGGTACTAAGGTTTTTGTCCCACTTCCTCCTGTGTCTGTGTCACTGTGATAAGCATTGTGCCAGGTTGCACAGTAATAGTCACCCTCATCCTCAGGCTGCAGCCCGGAGATGTGCAGAACGCCTGCATTGGCCGAGGTGTCCTTGGATCCAGAGAAGCGGCTGGGGACCCCGGAGCCCTGGGGTTTCTCTGAGTCTGACTTGTACTTCAGGAGATAGCGGGGACGGCTCCCTGGCTTCTGCTGGTACCAAGACATGTGGTAGCCACTAACAGTGAAGCCACTGGTCAGGGCGCAGGTGAGTCTGACAGATGCTCCAGGAGATGCAGAGAGGGAGGGCGGCTGAGTCAGCACAGACTGGGACAGGGAACCTGCAGACACAGACATATAGAGAAAATGGGAAAGGGACAGGAGTGACAATTTCAAGGGGTCTCAGCAAAAAGAGAATGAACAACTCTAATCTGTTCTGTGTCCCCAAGGACTGTTCCTACCTGTGCAGTGAGAGAGGAACACAAGGAAGAGAGGAGTCCAAGCCATGGTGGACACAGCCCCTGGTCCCCTCATCTGGGCTGCCCCAGGCCTCCTTTTCTTCCTGCCCTCTGCCACAGAAGGGGCTCTTTATGCAAATGTGTATCCATTCAGTGACTGCCCAGTGCCTCCCTGGACTGGGGCTCAGCTCACAGGGCAGAGCGGGTGGGAGGGACCCTGGCTCCACCCCTTGGGCAGCCCTGGGAGGAAGCACCTGCTCAGACAGCATAAGGGCCTTCCTCGGGGGGTCGTGCCAGCTAGAGAGGACAGAGCTTCTAGGTCCTCATCAGGGAGCTCAGCTCCAGGCCCGTCTCCAGTGTCTTCTAGGAGCAGCTGTGTGAGGTGCACAAGGCAGCCCCACATCGCCCCCTGCTGGTTGCAGACAGATAGGTTCTTGTGGCCCAGAGACCTGAGAGCCCAGCTGGTCTCTTCAGCTCACCACATGCTGTCTCTGTTCACACATTCAGGTTTGACTCCCTGTTAGTTGGATTCGGTGTACTGGGCATGCTCCCTGCACTTCCTTACTTCTAAAGTAATCCGGGTCTTTGGGAAGTACAAGCACGTACATAAACCGTACTCCAGAGGCCACCCAGCACAGAAGATGCTAAAACACCTAAATGACACTCTGTTTCTGTTTCTGACCAAACATCACAGCAGAAGGGACGGGAGGGCTGGGTTGAAGAACGTGCAGGGGCTGCTCAGGGAGAAGTACAGAGCAAGGATCTTCCAGGACTCGGCTCAGTGTTATCATCAAAATACAGCCCTTAGCAAACGTTCAAAAAGTTCTGCAACACTTTTACAATTTTGAAACAGGGGAGCCAGCAGATGGCATAGTGGTTATGTTGCTGGACTGCCGCATAGCCAACCGCGGGTTGAGATCCCGAACCCAGTGGCTTGAAATCCATGCTGGGTGCTTATGGGTACATTCTCAAGCTCCTGGGAGAGTGGAAGAGAAAGGATTGTGGCATGGCCATCCCCTAGTGGGGCTGATTTCTCACTTTCCCTCTCACTGTCTCTGTCTCTCTCTCTCTCCTGCAGGTGCACAATAACCCTAAGGCAAAAACCTCTTTAAAAATTTATAAAACTCACTTTCTTCTTATTTTTTTCATTTTTCTTATTAATTAATTTATTTTATATACTTTCACTGAACATCACCACAGCAGACCGACGTACCAAAAGTGATATTCCAGCCAGAATACACTGTAAAGTGTCTTAGTCATACTTGCTATCAACGAATAACTTTCCATTTCTTGTTTCTTGTGTGTGTGTGTGTGTGTGTGTGTGTGTATATATATATTTTTTTTTTTCGCCCCCATATTTCTCACTGTCTGCCATTTCCCATCCTCCTCCCACCCTGTCTCTGGTATCTGCAGTTGCTTTCCATTTCTTAATTTTTTCCCACATTGTATTGATTCACAAAATAACTTAATTAATCTAAATATTTTTAATAGTAAGTTCAGCTGGCAAATACATATCTGTGAACGAAAGTTGACTTTAGGCATGAAACTCTGTGGGTAGAATGAGTATACTATAACATAGCACATCCCTGCGGCTATATAGCTTACTGTGGCTACTAAGTAGGCATTTTTTTAAATACAGTTTTTAATTTCAAGAAAGGCAATTTTAGATTTAATAAATCAAAATAAAAAGCATGTAAAGAGAACTTTGCTTGGGATTAACAGTTAGCTTAATGGCTATGTCATTGAACTCCCATGTAGCCAACCGCAGTTTGAGTCCCGGACCCAGTGTCTTAAACTCACGCCGGGCACATGTGCGTGCATGCCCAAGATCCCAAGAGGGGAATGGAGGAGAAGGGATTGTGGCGTGGCCATCCCCCCTGGGGGGTGATTTCTCACTTTCTGTCTCTCTGTCTCTCTCTGTCTTTCTGGCGAGTGCACGCACCCTATAGCGAAAACCTCTCCAAACAAAAAAACAAAAAAGAGAACTTTGCTTAATACTATAAGCCAGGAAACAGGTTAGGGTTTCTGTTTGAATAGCAGGTACATGGACCCGTCCACAACTCAAGAGAAGACAAAGCTCCTTAACACTAGAAAACAAAGCATTGAAAGTTAGTAATGTTTTAGTCAAAAGTCATAAAATTCGATTTCACCAGTTCAAACTCATGTTACCATCTGTTGTGATCTGATCTTTCCATTTAAATTCTGGAAGATAACGTTTAACTCTGGACTTGTCCCTACCATTAAGCTGGGACAGAGACAGAGAGACAGGGAGAGACAGAGAGGATACAGGGGCTCTCCCAGAGTAAATCCTCAGCAGAACCTCTTCATGGTCTTATCTCTGAAATCACTAGATCTCAGCTCTCATGGCCTTTAAAAATCATTTTGGTAACAGACCAATACAATAAGTATTTAGTGAAAAACTGATATTTTTGTTAGGATTAGCGTTTGCTGGGATAAAGACCCACTCCTTTACTTTGTGTAGGAAGTTTTACCTCTCACTCTTGTCACTTTCTGCAACTGTGTGTTTCACATTTTTGGTCAGGATCGTGTCTTAGCTGTCACACGTTTGTCTGCACTGGGAACATCGTCTCTCTCCCCTATATTTTCTTACTCACCATTTCGGCTTCGGAGGAGCTGACGTGGACATCTGGGCCAGCACATGTGACCATCATCGGTCTCTGCACGCCCTGTGTGGAATCAGCTCTGAGTGTGCGAGTGACTCCAATGCTCTAGACTCCCATGACTTAGAGTAAATGACCTATGGCTGAGGTCCCTGCTTCCCACAGACACCCTGTGTCTAAGCCCTCAGAGACCGTCCTTACCTGATCTGACAGATCAACCCCGACCTAGAATCCTCCACGAATTCCTCACTGCAGTGTGCACAGAACTCAAACTCCTCGGCTCCTCTACGGTGCCCCCGTGGTCTGGCCACTGTCCCTGTCCTACCAGTGCTGTGGGTCTGCACCCTCACTTTCTACTCTGCCCCTAGAAATCCTGATTTCCTGTCCCTTCTATTAATTTGATGTTTTCCTTTTTTTAAAAAAAATCTCATTTATTTATTCATATGTTTTTATTTGATCAGAGAGAAACAGAGAGAGAGAGAGAGAGAGAAAGAAAGGGAGAAAGCAAGCCACCAGGTCCAGGACTCAAACCATGGTTGGCCATGTGGGAGTGTCCAGCGCCTTTAACCACCACACCACCTGCCAGCCCCATAAATTTGATGATTTTCTTGCTACTGTCACCTCTTGTCACACACTGACGTGTTTTACATCTGTTGACATACTGACTCTCTCTCTCCTGTGACAATGACACACCCTCTCTCTTTTGTCTCTCTACCCAGTCTGTATCCTGAACTTGGCCCAGGGCAGGTGCTCAGGAGTCATTAGGATGAAAATACCTGTGCCCCAAATACTTGTGGGCTTCCTTGAGTCAGCCCCTGTGGTCCTCTGTCCCTGTCCTGACCTGGCCTTTCATGGACTCTGTCCCTCTTGCCCTGTCACTGAGGAATTTCTGCTCATTTAGGGCAGTGTGACGATGTGTTGATGTCACAGGCTCCCTTGAGGACTGGCTCTGGAGGACAAAGCTGCCTTCTCTGGATCACGGTCCCTGGCCTGAGTTCTGGGCCCTAGTCAGGGACAACCCCAGCAACACACACTGAGGTCAGTGACCCCTTGTCCTGGCCGTTGGTGGCAGGTGCTGCAGGCAGGCCACAGTGAGAGGAGGCCCCTGTCCCTGCCTTCTTCCCCACAGGCGGTAGCCCTGGGGGCCCTCACAGGGATGTGTAAGACCAATAGTCCCAATATGAGCCTCAAGCTCAGGCTGGAGCCAACGATGCAGGGAAGAGTGGGGGCCAAGCCTGGCAGCCCCCAAACCAGGCCAGAACGCCTGAAGGCTGATATTTGCTTCTGATACCTAAAAGATTAAGGGTCCTGCCAGGCCACGGTTGGTACCAGGACACCATCCCAGGACTCACATTGGCAGCTGGTGCTTCTTCCAGTGCAGGAGATGGTGACGACTCAGCCTCAGACCCCGCTGTGCAGGCTCCGGCCTCAACCCTGACCCATCACAGGGCAAAGGAGCAAGAGAGGGAGTCAGGTGCAGCATGGCAAAGGCAGAGCCAGGGCCTCCCAGGCCCAGCCCCTGATGCCTGTTTCCAGTCCCGTGTAAAGAGATGAGGGTGAGGAAGAGAAGGATCCAGGCCATGGTGGGGGTGCCCTCGTCTTTCCTTTCTGAACCACAGATTGTGTTCCCCCTTTTGTCAGGATTTTGTGTGCACACACACACGTGCTTGGCATGTTTTCAAGGTGCTGGGCATGGTGTTTGAACTGGGACTGAATCCCCCTCAACCTTGTGGGATCTGCCTCTCTTAACCACTAGGGTCAGGCCCAGGGACCCAGGAGAGAAGGGGCCTCTCAAGGCTCAGCGACAGTTGCCAGCCCGGGTTGGATGCAGAGAACATCCTAATTCCCCCCTTTGAGCTTATGACAAATGCAGACCTGAGAGGAGGTCACATGGGTCCCTTGTGCCCTGATTCGGTGTGTTCTGAGCTCCTGAGCTGTGCACAGCTGGGTGAACCTCCCTGGTTCATTCCATGGCTCATCCTGAAGTATTCCATGTCCTGAGGATGAAGTGTCTGCCTGCGAGGAGGTGACCAGGCTGAGGACCTGCTGTCAGGACAGTTCAGATCTCCTCATAGTCTCAGAGCTCAGGTCCTTGCACGGTCGGGGCAGTGAGAAAGGCAGTCACCTTTCCTCCGAAATAGTCATGAGGAATAAGAGAGGACGTCCCAGGATCTCAACTCAATGGTGCTTTTTCCTGCAGTGGTCACTTCATTGCTGAGATTTCCCACCTTGTCGTGCACTGTGCAAATGCCATACCGGAACTGACGGTGAACCTACCAATGCATCCGGGAGGTGGGTTTTACTTGTGTCAGTGCAGGTAGCCCAGGTCTGTGCTCTGTCTACAGCTCCCTCCTGCAGGGCGGTGCCGACCACAAGGCCCACAGTGAGGCTCAGTCTAGAAGTATTTCTGAGTCACTCCTAGACCCTGAGATGAGCTCGGCCCACCCAGCCTCTTCAGGCTTCTCCTTCACCGTGAGCACCTTGAAGACCAGCTGCCCCCTGCTCAGTCCTCACAGATACTGATCTGAGATCACAAAGGTCAGGACCTGTGTCAGCTACTCAGCTCTTCCAAAGGGATGAATTTTAATGCAAAAGCCATGTCACTATGGGGACAAACAGTATCTCTCTCCTTGACATTTATGTTTTAATCTGAGTTTTCAAAATACAGGTGTTTAAAACAGGTAGGAGTGTGTAATTTGGGACCAAAAGAGTTGCAATTTCTAGTCTCAAATAAGCTTCCTACACCTGTAAACTGTCCATCAGGAGGGGCCTCAGACACGAGGAAAATCTCATGTACCCGCTGAGCAGTGTTTGATAGTGAAGCCGATGAATAATGAAATATTTCCATCCTGTTCTGCCCAGTTACAATTCCTCTGCTCTTTCTCTCCCACACCACCTCCTCACTGAACTCTGTCCTCAGAAGCTGGATATTTCCCAGAATTCCACGGGCCAGACTTGCACTCCAGGACTGTGCACGGGACAGAGCCATGTTCATTTGCAGCGTGGCTCTCGGTTAACTGCCCTCATTTGAGAATCATTTTGAAATACTTATCATCATTTTATGAAATATGGGGCGACAATTTGATATGGGGAACTTTTCATAGTGATAGGAGAAAACGTATTGTACCGTTAACAAAATGTCACGGGCCACGTGAAGGGCCTAAAGTTTTAGTCCCACTTCCCCATCTGCCTGTGTCACTGTGAGCAGCACCGCTGTGCCCGATACTGCAGTAATAGTCGGCCTCGTCCTCAGGCTGCAGCCCCGAGATGTGCAGAACTCCTGCATTGGCCGAGGTGTCCTTGGATCCAGAGAAGCGGCTGGGGACCCCGGTGCCCTGGTGCTTAACAGAGTCTGAGTAGTAGCTCAGGAGATAGCGGGGAGAGGTTGCCTTCTTCTGATACCAGTTTATCCAGTAGCCATCAACACTGATGTCACTGCTCAGGGCGCAGGTGAGTCTGACAGATGCTCCAGGAGAGGCAGAGGGGGAGGGCGGCTGAGTCAGGACATGAGTCAGCACAGGCTGGGAGAGGGAACCTGCAGACGCAGACACTCATGAATGGTGGGGTAGGTATGAGGGGGATGATTCTCAATGGTCTCAGCCAAAAGAGAGTGAGTCAGGCTGGGAGCTGCCTTGTGTCCCCAAGGCCCTTCCCTACCTGTGAAGTGAGAGAGGAACACCAGGAGGAGAGGAGTCCAGGCCATGATGGACAAAGCCTCTGGTCCCCACATGGCTGAGCTGCCCCAGGCTTCCTTTTCTTTCCACCCTCTGCCACAGGAGAGGCTCTTCATGCAAATATGGGTCCATCCAGTGACTGCCCAGCCCCTCCCTGAGCCCTGGGCTGGGACTCAGCTCACATAGGAGGCAGAGGGGGAGGGAGGTTGGCTCCACCCCTTGGGGAGCCCTGGGAGGAAGCACCTGCTGGGACAGCACAGAGGGCCTTGCTCAGGGGACTCTGCCAGTCAGAGAGGACACAGCTGCTGGGTGCCCATCATGGAGCACAGGGCCAGTCCCAGGACCGGCTCCTTTGATGAATGGTCCTGACTGAGCCACTGTTTGGAGACCTCAGGGCAGTCTTTCGGCGCCCCCTGCTGGTGTCAGATGGGTCCCACTGTTGAGACCTGAGAACCCAGCAGGTCTCTGCAGCTCACCAGGAGCTGTCTCTGCGCACAACCAGGTCTGACTCTCTCTGTTGGATTCCCTGTCCTGGGCATGCCGACTGCAGGTGCTGAGTCCTGGTGTGTGGGAGGTGCAGTCACGTATAGAGACCATAACCCAGATGCCACGCCTGCGCAGGAGATGCCGAAAACCCTACATGACACTCTGTGTTTCTGAGCACACATCACAGAGGAGGGACAGGAGGGCTGGCGCGGAGAACGTGGAGGAGCTGCCCAGGAGGCAGAGGGGATTTTCTAGGACTTGGCTCAGTGGCCTCTTCAAAATGTGTCATTTAGCAAACATTTGAAAAGTCCTGGAACCCTTTCAGATGAGTGGATGCAGCCTGACAGCTCAGGAGGGCTGAGTGGACAGGGGAGACACTGCTGCTTGAAGACCCAGGTTCACTCCTGCGGAAAAGCATCCAGGCTGTGCCCTTGGGCTCCTGGGAGGGTCACAAAAGCTCCCTGTGGTGTGGAGACTCTCATCTCTTCAAGAGACTCGAACACTTTCAGCATCTCCAGCATCCCCTCCTCTTGTTTGGAGCATTTGCGTCTCTCCTCCTCCAGGTCTTGAACCAGGGACCTTAATTCCTGCCTCAGCATCAGATTGACCCTCTTCAGCTTTGTGTAGTCTTCGGTAAGGCGGGGGAGGTTGAAGGACTCTCTCTCTTGCCTGGCTCTCTCCAAAGATGACTCAGTCGCGGCCTGCTCCTCTCTGCGAGCACTGAGCATGTCAAGGAGCTGAAATTTCTCCTCCATGCACGTAGCCAGGGTCTCTGCGAGCTGCTTCTCTCTCCTCACATAAGGCCGACTTCTCACTGACCAGACAAGTCTGAATAGAAACAAGAGGCCCACCAGGAAACAGAGGAGAAGGGGACACTCCAGCGCCTCCCCCTGGAGGTTGTAAAAAGTGAGCCTTGGACTCGGGTTCTTAGGAAACAGCTCTTTCACAACCTCACCCGGCTTCCCAAATACCAGTCCAAAGCCTAGCTCCACAGAGGACCGCAGCCCCTCCATGGCTCTGCAGCCACCCCAGGGCCCTGCCCCGTCACTGTGGATCCAGCTGCCACAACAGACCCCAGGGAATGTCCCCACATTCCACCTGGAACCCACCCAGCCGCTGACATCTGGATTGGTCAGCTACACGGTTTGCAGAGGGGGGAGAGATGGCGTCAGATACACTTCTCTCCACTACTGTGCGATGACCATTCTATTTCCATCCACTCTGTTGCTTTTGTAGCAACGTCAAAGAAACATATCCTGAAATGTGTGAATCCTAAGTGCGTGACTAGACAATTTAACAACTCCGTCCCCCACTGCAGTAGCCAACACCCCTGTCAACACATGGCTCCTGTCCAGTCGAGTAGAAAATACACCTGCACCTTTTTCATCCATACCCACCCCCATGACCATGTGCAGCCCGTTTTGTTTGAACATAAATCAGTCTCACCAGTTCCTGAACATCAGAGGATTAAGCAAATCACAATGTAAACTTTGTCATCTGTCTTGTTTGACAAAAAAAAAAAAAGTCATCTGATATATGCTCACATTTCTCTGTGGATAAGTATTTCTCCTTGTTCATGTTTTGGTAATTTGTCATGTGTGAGTGCATCACAGTGTATTTATGGCTATTTGGATTACTTCAAACATAAACTACTAACAACAAAAAAGAAACACTGTGTCTACCTTTGTATTCTTTTTCTTTTCTTTTCTTTATCTTCTTATTTGTCCCCACCCATGTGTTGGGCCCAGCCAGAGTGTGTGAGTGTTTGTAGCTTGTCTTCTGTGTCAGAAGATCTTGGCCCTGAAATCCCAACACGTGGGTGGGGAATTGGTGCTCCCAGGGAACAGGACCTGAGGGACACGTGCACATGTACTGTCCACTGTCATGGTCCTTCTGAACATGCATGAGGGTGTTTCAGGGAGGGGATGAGTGACAGTTCTACTCACAGTGACTGAGCCATTCCACAGGGAACAGAGGAGGGAGGTGACCTCCTGAGAAAGGCCTTATGCCCCTGCATTACAAAAAAGGTGATGGGACCAGCAGTTAGCATAATGGCTATGTCGCTGGATTCCCACGTAGTCGACCGTGGTTCGCGTCCCGGACCCGGTGGCTTAAACTCATGCCGGGCGCGTGTGCATGTGTGCCCAAGATCCCAAGAGGAGAATGGAGGAGAAGAAATTGCAGCGTGGCCATCCCCCCTGGGGGGTGATTTCTCGCTTTCTATCTCTCTGTCTCTCTGTCTGTCTGGCGAGTGCACGCACCCTATAGCGAAAAACCTCTCCAAAAAAAAAAAAGTTGAATTTTTTTTTAATTTCTATTTTGTTTAAAGGTTGAAATCAGAATAACAAAGGAGGAAAACTGAAAGTTTGAATGACCATAATTTGCACCGAGACTCAAGAAATGCAGAAGATATGTATGGCCTCTTACAATCATAATTTGAGTAAATTATGATCATCATTCCTTGTATATTTCCCACATCAAGATCAGAAAGGAATCCAGTGTGATCCGCAGCAGTGGTACGAGACCCTTCCTCACCTCATTGCACCGAAGTCAGTGCTATGGCGGGTGTGCAGGAGTTCTCGGCTTTACTAATTTCATGTGTCTGTTCACTGCTCACGTCTGGCAAGCCAACAGATATTTACACATTGATGTTGAATCTTGAAATCCTTCTGAATTCATTTCACACTTCTCATCGTTTTCAGGGGCTTTATAAAGGGTTTTCTCCATACAAGGTCATGAGCTCTAAAAACAGAGATCATGTTTTTTAATTACTAATTTCTCTTCTTTTTGTTTCTGTGACCTAATGGCTTTGTGAGATCCTACAGCCCTGAGCTGTGTGCAAGTGGGGAAAACAGGCGTCCTTCCCTTGTCCTGATACTAGAAAACCCTCCCAGGTAAACCTCCGATGGTCCACACTGTCTTCGGTCTCCCGAAACATGTGCTATTCTTGTTGCCATTTTTATTTATGTGCTCTGTGTTCCTTCTGACAATGTCTGAGGAAGGGACCCTTCTTGTCTTGTCCCCACTGTGTCCTGAGCCCCATGACCACTTGTGGAGCCTGGTGCACAGTAGGTGCTCAGTAGGTGGTGTGGACAGAGGCCCTCCAGAAAGGCGGCTCTCCTGGGTCAGACCCAGTTGGACTCTGTGTTCTTGATCATCCCGGACTCCTTGTTAGGAGTTAATTGTGGGCTCCCAAATTTACATGTCGATAGCTTCACCTTTCCAATGCGTCTGTATTTGAAAATTGCACCTCTGTGGACGTCAGTAGGGTTAATGAGGTCCTACCACTGGGATGCTCATTCTGAGGACTGGTGTCTTTTTGAGAAAAATGACACAAAGCACTAATGCCCACAGGGTCTCTATGTGGGGGACACGGTGAGAGACAGTGGCCTGAAGGTCACAGAAAGAGGACTTAGAAGAAACCAACTTGCTGACAAGTGGATTGGGACTCCCTGCATCTAGACCCGAGAGGCAAAAATGACGTTCCGGAAGACTCCCAGCCTGAGGTCTGTGCTGTGGGGTCCTCGGCAGACTGATGTGCTCCTGGACTCTGAGCTCAGGACTGCCCACCCTGGCACTGAGGACCAGCTTCTGAGTTTAAGAAAAGTTCACACTGTGTTGGTGCCAAAGACTGGGAGAGTAGGAGGGAGTGAGGAGAGGTTCCCTACCCAGGTGTCACTGGACAGAAGCTCAGACCCAGACTTTAGCCCAGACCAAGGAAGCAGCCGACTTGGCCATGGGAGGGCTGAGCACAGAAGCCCCAGAGCTGGGCAGACAGCGGGTTCTTGTCTCACTTCCCCCCTGGCCTGGAGCACTGTGAAAGTGTGGACGCTGTAGTCATAGGCATGACAGTGATAGTCAGCCTCGTCCTCAACCTGGAGCCCTGAGATGGTCAAGGAGGCCGAGGATCCAGACTTGGAGCCCGAGACTCGATCAGGGATTCCTGAGGGTCGATTGTTGTCCTTGTAGATGAGGAGTTTGGGGGCCGTCCCTGGGAGCTGTTGGTACCAGGATACATCTCGGCCGCCGACGTTGGAGCTGCTTCCAGTGCAGGAGATGGTGACACTTTGGCCCAGGGTTCCAGACACTGAGGGTGGCTGAGTCAGCACAGGCTGGGCCCAGGACCCTGGAGGTGGGAGAGACACAGAAAGGGTGATTCTGGGCTTAGAGACAAGAGGAGAAAGCAGGGCCCATGGTCTCCCCAGGCCTTCCCCTGGCCCCGTATCTAGTCACCTGTGCAGTGAGCCAGGAGGGTGAGCAGGAGAGGGGACCAGACCATGGTGGAGGATCCCGGAGTCCTGCCTTCTGGGCCTACAGGTGAAGCAGAGCTTCCCCCAATTTCTTTCTTCCCCTTTTCATGCTCTGAGAGGGGGAGGGGCCTATCATGCAATTGAGGCCTCACCCCCAGCTTGCTAGTCCCCCCCTGGCTCTGGGTCAGTTCATTCTGCCTGAGGATGGCAGAGGTGGAGGGGCGGGGCTATGTGGGTCAGGGGTGGGAGGTCCCAGCTGTGAGCCCTGAGCAGAGGGCAGCAGGCAGGGCCAGGTGTCTCCTCCCAGCTCTGATCCCCGCAGCCCTGTCAGGAACTGGA